CCAGACAAAAGAAGGCGGTAATTACGAGTACTATGTGTAGAATGATGCAGATGACGACGTCGGACGAATTGGTTGGACTGGGTTTGTTGACTCTGAAGCGACAGCTTCGCTTGCAGAGGTACCCAAGGGAAATGTTCAATGAGTGTCTGTTTAAATTCATCATGGACAGAGCACCGTCCTGGGAAAAATAGGGTCAGAGACTGGGTAGTTGGTAATTGAAAAAAAAGAGGGTTGATGATTCCTTTTGATGGCAGCCTGTTATTAAACAATGGAACCAGGCTGGGGGAAAGACTGGTATGGAACCTTCGGTGGGGGACCAGGCTGGAAAATCGGGTCGGGTGAAAAACAGTGGACCTTCGAGAAGTAACGTGTTACTAAACGATGGGACCAGGCCGGGGGAAAAAATGGTGTGGAACTGTCGGTGGGGGACCAGGCTGGAAATCGGGTCAAGTGAAAAACAACGGACGTTCGAGAAGTAACGTTTTATTGAACGTAGACAGGAAAATAGGCTGAAGGGAGAGATCGACTCAGAGAGGAAAAAAGTGAAAGTAAACTACCGGGTTAGGCTCCGAGAGTTTTGCTGCAGGCTAGTCCGGATTGACCAATATAAGTAGAACCTCCAGAACGTCAATAACATCTCGAAAGCTACCCCCTGATGAGGTCGTAGCTGGCGGCGACCGAAACTAGTCGGGAATGCCAGTCTCCTTTTCATCTTCCAGTGGGTGTTGACAATTTGGCGGCAAAGATAGGGAGGGGAAACCATAGCTTGTCTATGGTTGCCTCTTGTTTTTTATGATATATCTTACGGAGATGAGTTTCGAGATTTTTCACATACGTTTGCTATTCGTGCATGACAACGCACGTGTGGTTATGTGTTCATCGCGTTTGAGTCAGACTTTGTTTGACTTGCTCTTCTTCAATTGTTAAGCCACGCGATTCAAAATTTCAAAAAGAAAAAGAAAGTGACAACATTGCATTGACGACCATAACTATCCACCATAATCTTCAATGTCGGACGTTGTCCGACGAATGACAGGTTTGATAAAGTTGGGATAACTGATGTAAGACCGCCTCAACCTATCTTGTGACTTTGTGTCTTAAGACAAACATCTGACGTATGGGGAATCGGTAAAAACCAAGAGGGCGTGACACTATTTTATTTATCATTATTTTTTAAAGTACGAGCATAAGGTCGTATCGCCACACGGTTCATGGCCTAAACAACGAGAGAAAGAAAAGGGCGCAGCCGTGTTATTTATGCGATCGGGGCGTGAAAGTAGGGGTTATAGACTTTATTTGTTCGGGAAAACGGACTCTTCCGGGTACGATGCTATGTTTCTGGTGTAAAGGGTGTCTTTAGGGCCTGTTGGACTAAGCATCTACCGTGTAGCGGCGGCGCAACTGCCTTTGGATGAGAAAAGAAGGCACTGTTGGACTAAGCGCCTGCCATGTCGACGGCGGCGCAGCTGCCTTTGGATGAGAAAAGAAGGCAGGGCGTGCCTAGGATAGGGATTGGGCGGCCTACTGGCCGCAACCCTTCAAATTGAAGAGTTGCAGGCTTTGCTCCTGTAAATAGGAGTTAGCCCAATAAGTACCTTGACCGCATCAGACTCTCACTGTGACCCAGCAGACACACGGATCGAACCGCACGTGGCCCACTAGGCTAGCTCCTTTGGAGCAGCCTACAAACTTGCACTATTAAGTGCAGTCGATCTTGGCTGCATGATCCTCGAGATCGCACAACTGAAATCAGCCACGCGGAGCTGCTTGGTCCCTGCGCAAAGAGGACACACATAAGTCGAGAAAATAATCAAAGATTTTTCTTCTTCTTCAGTGTTCAATCCCATCAGATATCGAAATTGAGTCTGTATTTCAATAGGGCAGGGGTAAGCCGTGATGGCACTGTGGGAGGAAACGGGTGGTTGACTTAAGCCAATGCAAAAAAAAAAAAAAAAAAAAAAAAAGTTGTTTGCGAAATACCTCTATAAGTTGAGATATATGCCAAAATGCCCCTTTTAGATCAGGGTAGAGCGGAATGCCCTTTTGGGCCTAATTCTTTGTGTTTCCCCTCTGTTAGGCCCATGGGAAATTTGCAATCTGGAGCACGTCATTGGGGCGTGGGCCTACACCCTGTTTTCCCATGTTTGCCCTCCATAGCGGGTGGGCAATTT